TTAACGGATAATTTGTCCAGCCCTGGCTTTAACAACAGCTTTTATTGGGTTAATTTTCAGTCGTAATAAAATAACTAAAACATTATATGAACTATTCATATTTTTAAAATTTTATTTTTACCGAGGTACTTCAAGAAATTGTAATAAGAAATCGACCTCGACTAGAGACAAAACAAAAGGTCAGTCTTGACATTAAATTTTTAGGTTTACATATTATGGACATTAACATTGTTAAAAAAAAAAAAAAAAGCTAGACTAATCCAAGCAAATAATATTTTCTTCACGAAAAACGAGCCCAACAAGCTCTCGATGCCTCAACGGTTTTTTTACGTTTCGTTCGACGACTCACGTGTTCAGTTCCGTTCATGCATAAACTTTTAAAATTTTGTTGTATATATTTATTCATTAATGGTAAAAAAGAAATATTCAACATGAAGGTTGTTTTTTTCCTTAACAGCTTTTGTCTACACTCAACATTTATGGTATGACTAATGAGATTTTATGCATGTTAACCTCCTTTAAATGAATACACATGAACAAACAAAGAAATCTATCATTAATAAGCATCTTCCGTTTTTATTTTCTACAAACAAGTTACTTAATTAAGTTTAACTTTTGACTATTGTATATGGGAAAGAGTCAATGCTCGCAAATCGCAATAAATAATACAGTATGTTTTATGTTGGGTAAGTGTAAGTTACAACGAATATTTCTCTTTTTGTAGCGTCGTCCTTTTAATTCGCTCATCACTAGGGAATTTTATCTTTTTGTTTTCCTTTTACTTAATACAAAATCGTCACTTTATTACATGTCTTTCATGGATTATTTTGATTTTGAGCATCAAATTACGTGTCTATGGTTACTATATTATATCATTTACTTACTTATGAAAACATATTTTTATTCTACTATTGGCTTTTTTCACTAAAATCAGTACCTATATTGAATAATTGATGAGAGTATATTACTTTATTAGTATAGGTTCGACATCGAAAAGGTAGTCATTTAAAAATCATGTATCAATCGAATTTTTCCTTATATATCTATATATTTACGCTTCATTTATTAACTTTATTTTCTATACTGTTTGTATTTTCCACGGATGATTTACTGTTTTAGTCTTTAACTGAAACATAAATGATAAATCTAAACGAATGTGCATTTATTATATATTTCGTGTTCATTAACGACTTTTATACTATAATAACATCTTGGTAATTATGACTTTGCTNAAAAAAAAAAAAACTCTTGGTAATTAAATAAAGAAAAAACATATATGGGGATATTTGCCGCTGTCCAACTTATTAATAAACTCATAAGTAATCCATCTTAGTATACTAAGGTCTAAAACCAGTGTTGTAATTATTGTTATATATAATTTGTTATGTTGGTGTTCTAGTAAAACATAAAATTTAAGTTTTTTTTATAAATAAAATTTAAGTTTACAACAGACCAACGTTAGTGTAAGCTTCTTTTTTTTGTTGGCTAAATTATATAATTACAATATGGCATTTCATTTTCAAACACTGTATTTATTCTAAAGTAATCATATATAGATTATCAGCTACATTATCCTCAGTGAAAGGAAGGAATTAAAAAAAGGAACGAAAGGACCATAAAAGGTAAGAGATTATATATTACGCATTTGTTTTTTTTATAACTTTATTACGCATTTGTTTACAGCTAAAAGAAATTTCCTCTCTCGTACGTTGTTAATATTCTAGGTGCCTAAGTTTTTAGATGAGATGCTGCAGTGAAAATAAACTACTAACCTCTTTTACATGTTCCTCATTTTTTGACATAAGCTCGTATCGTTCATATAATGGAATTCCAAAACTACTTGTGTGTGTGTGTGTTTTTTTTTTTTAAATCCCAAAATGTTTAAAAGCATTTATAAAGGTATGAAACTTTTATAAATTTAGTAAGTGTTTCTAAATTTTCTAGTCTTCCTAATTGTTTATGAGCACCTTTCTAAACTAGGTATAGAAAGAACTAGTGAAAGACTTCTATAAATGATTCCTAATATAATATGGCTTCATAAACCTTGCTAAACACCGTTCTAAAAACAATTGTGTTCTTTTCTTA